ACAGTAATGCTCTCTGCTGTCTCTTCTCTTGAGCTTCCAGATCCGGTGATTATGAGTGTGTCCTAATTCATACTATAATATCTATTTTTAGTCATCTGGTCCTGATGCCTGGAAACATTAATCAATATAATGACTGTCTGTTATTTTGGAGAGCTCTGCTTGATGTCTTGTTCTAATTTCCAAGTCAGACAGTTGTGGTGGACAGTATCTTTACTAAGCAGGGAAAAGTGTTTTGTGTGTTGTTTTTTTTTTCTCTTGAATCCTCAAGAAACCCTGGGTATCCCAATACAAGTCACTAGAGGCATGAGCCTAGCAGTGGAAGGCATCAGAGCAGCTGTAAGAGTTGCTGCTGTTACAAACCAGAAGTCTCGAAGCTGTTTCTGAGAAAGGGAAATGAGATGAAAATGAGGGCTCTGTGCTATGTTTTGGGTGAGTGTTTGAATTTCCAGCCCAACCCAGCTATTTCCCCACTGTGCTGCTTCAGGAGTCACCATCCTATGTACATCTTTGAGCATGTGCTGCAAGTGAGGAATAATCTCTCGCCAGCTGCTTGGCTTGGATTGTATCCCCTCGAGGGTGTGGGGCAGTGGACTGGTTTCTGGTAACTGGGACAGGGAAACTTCAGTTCTCTTGCCTGTTTCCAGGAGTGCAGGGAAGAAGCAGTGATGTCCTAGCAGAGAAATGCCTCCAGGCATGGCAGGCCAGAGAGCTAAGACAGTATTTTCCTGGGAATGTCTTGGGTTGGGTGCCTGCTGTGATAAAGGAACAAGCCTGGGGCCTGGAGATGAAAGTTTAATTCCTTTGCTCTGCACAGCCTTCATGTGACCATAAGCAAGTTGGTCCTCATTCCAGTCCTGCTTGTAGGATGGGTGTGGGAGGGATGGTGGAATGAAAGGTCCTGAATGATAAGGTGCTGATTCTGCAGGAGCAGGTGCTTGTGTTGATCAAGGGTTGGTGTGGAACATCTGCTCTAGGTGCACTGAATTAGTGCCTTACATAGCTGTGATAAAGAGGGGGGCTTCTTGCTTGCAGTTCGTCAGAGAAATGCTGCCCCAGCATTTTCTGTAGGGAAGGAATGCGCTCTGTCCTCCTGAACTCAGTGTGAATGCTCTTTGTAGTCTGAACCTTGCTGCTGTGATTGTGCAACTGTAAAGGTCTCTGGCCTGGAGTTAGGAGCCCACAGTGACCCTCACAGGACTAGAGCAGACCAGTGGTTTTATAATCCTCTGTTTCATATAGCTTCAGGTCCTTCACTGAAGACCAGACTCCTGAAGGATAGAGGCGATAATCCTGTGCTGTCTTCAAGCAGTGATAAGCTTGATGTTTGAGCCTGTGGTGGCCTTATGTATAGGCTGGGTCATGCATGTTTACATAGATGTTTAGGGTAGGAGAGGTACAAGATTTCTTTTAGCAAGTGGCTGCATGTAGTCCTGAGGGGCAGAATCCCACCACTGTACGTAGGGGTGTTCTTGACTTTTGTCCTGTTTCTGGGCTGGTCTCAAGCTTTGGGCCCTATATGTAGTACGTATGGCTCTGGAGTGCTGCTGACTCCCGGTTGCTTCTGTGTAAATAGGGCCTTGCTGGGGCAATAAGCTCTTCTGCAGTAGCATTCCTGGGGATTGCTGAAACTGTAGGTTATGTGTTCTTGCCCAATTGCCTCTGCAGTTTGCAGTGCTAGTGCAAGGGAGAAACACCTATGATACATGAACTGCTTTAATCTGACAAAGCAGTACCATCTTGTGTCCATACCTGCACATCTTGTGTGTGGGCAACTATCAGGCATGGAGGGGTGTGCGAACAGCATCTAATCACAGGTTACTCCCTCCACAACACTTAAAAAGAAAGCTCACAAATTCAGGACTTTCTTTAGTTTAGCTGAGGGAAAGCAATTTCCTTTGGCTTATCATACTTTCCAGACTCAGCAGTTCATATTGTTAGGACTGCTGATCCTGTTTGGACAGTAAAGATAAGTAAGCAGGATGCAGAACACTAGAGTCTGCATCTCACTGCTTTGGCCGCTAGTGTTACCTGGCTGGGAAATGCTGCCCAACTTGCCTTTCATTCAGTTGGTAACAGACAGCGAGCTATGCTCCTGGTGAAACTGATGTCTGAATGGTGGCCTTCTAACTACCCTTCTTCTGGTGCCTGAATGGGGCAGCTTCTGCCTAAACCAGTGTCAGTGACGTCTGTGCCTTCCTAGCAAGTACCAGAATCGCATGCCTGTGGGGGAATATAGTAACCTGTCCTGTGGGGTGACTGGAGAGAAGTGACTGTTCTGTTGGAGTCCCTGTAGTGTTTGGAGTCCAACTGTATCCATTTGGATGTGAGCAGTGCTGGGACTGCTGGGAACTGTGTTCCAGGGCACACTCCAGGGCAAGCATCCTTGCTTGTTGCTAAGGCAGTAGCCAGGATAGGATAAAAGCTTTCTGTCCTACAGAAGTCAGAATGGGAAGCTCAGTGTGCTGCATACGAGGTCTTTCCGTAGTCAGAAGTCTTAAAAAGGTGTTTCTCTTGCCTACCTCCTTTTAACTCTAGCTAACAGCTAGTATGCAGCAGATACAAGTCTTTTTAGCATGCCTGGAAGGATGAGGGTACAGTGACTGGAGTATCCCTCACTTAGGCATGAGAGCCTGGTCGTAGATGACAGCAGTAGCTGTCGGTGGTGGTGGGAGTTCAGGCAGGGGCAGGCTGGATAGAGGCAAATGTGTTCTGGCCTGTCAGCTGTGTCTTCTGCGGGCAGCCAGGGAGACCTGTCTACCAGATCTAGGTTGCAGTACACAGATGGCCAGGCCAGGGGGAGGGAGGTTTCCAAAGATTTTTGGAAGCAAAGCTTCACCTGATAAAGGGCAACCGCTCAGTGGTTCTTATGCAGCTTTACAGAAGCTTAGGGCAGCATTCAAGCTATCTGTGGTATCACAGGATTGCTCAGATGCTGTCTGGCACTGTTTGCGTGTGGGCTTTGGTGCTGAAACTTCTTGTGCTCAGCAGGTGGTAGGGGCAAGCTCCTGGCTGGTGGAGTCTGTGCACTAGTATGCCTCAGGGCAGCAAAACAGTATCAGTGGTGGCCCAGTTTTCTAGCTTGCTTTCCTGGGAAGGCCTTCAGAATTATCTCTGAAGGATAACCTTGGGATTCAGCCCAGCTCTGATGGTCACTCTTCAGCAAACTTCCTGTGTTGTGACCTTGATCTCTGGCAGTTTCTCCCTGATGCAAAAAATAAGAATGATTTGTTAGGCTGCAGCACTGAAGGGAGGGCAGGTTTCATAGCACAGGAGCCACCATAACATGATAGGCTAAGGTTCCTGCATGCTTCTGGAGTAGAGGTGACTGAAGCTGGTGATCACTAGTGTCTAATAGCTTGTAAAAGTCTATTCCTTGGTTTCTAGATACATGATTCTATGTGATGTAAGAACTGGATGTATGCATTAATCTTGGTAATCTAGGCTGTATATGCCTAAACTTTTTTTGCTTGCTTCTGAGGTCATGTAGGGAATTGAAACCATTTGTTTTCAATAGCTGGGTACAAGCAGCAAGGTATGACTTGAGAAGGGAAATGGTCTGGTGGCTATGCTGAATCTTACTACTCATGAGTGCAGCCTGGCTGCTTCCCTGGCTTCCCAGAACAGGGTGGCTTGCTGAGCATCAAGGCCTCGTCTGCTCTGAGTCAGCAAGTGCTGTCTTTGTAGGAAATTTCAGTCGGGCTATGACTTGAAGATGTTAGTGGTGCGTAACCTAGAGCATCTTCAACTGAGAAGGCTATTCCACTGCTCTAGAAAAGTTTAAATAGGGTAGAAATTATATTTGGGGTGTAGGCTGTTGGAATGAAGAAATGAGTCCCCAGAGGAATATGCTGGCTCTGTTTAAGGTCTTCGTGAAGCACTGGGAAGGCAAGTCTGGTCTGTCTGGTCTTGACTGAACCTGGTATGCTCCGAGGTGTCCTGTAAAGAGTCCCTAACATAGCATGCTCAGAAACATCTGAGCAGCTCTGTGTGGAAACAAATATCATTAAAATGTTGGCAGACACAAAGCTCCATCTATAAAGGATAAAACAAGACCTGAATTTAGGAGCGGAAGAGGCTTGGGGTTACAAGCACTAAGTAGCTTTTTGTAAAGCAAAGTTCAGATATCTTTGAGGCTAGGTCTTGTACCAGCTTACTGGGGCTTTCTTTAACAGCAAATGTGTGTTCTAGCAGCAATGAATAACATCATACCAGGTATCCTGAAAATAAGATTAAGCAGATGCAGTGATAGTGCCATAGTGTTCCTGGGTTTTGGTCCTACTTCTGGCAAACAGTTGGCTCTTGGACTTTATGAGAGCCTAAGAGGTTTTGTGTCCCGCTTTTTCCCCAAATCAGAAAAAATGTAGACTCTAGCTGTCAGAACAGCTACTGGAACATGTGCAGTAGTTTTGGGAGATCAGAATGGCAATGGTGACCAGTCTGGGCCTGGTGAGGAAGCATCAGGCTCTTGCCTATGGCTTGCTATTTGTAATAGGTAAAAGTATGTAATACTTCTTGCCTTAGATTAAAGCAGCTGTCTGATCTAAGCGTGAGAAAACAGATCACAGGGCTAGGTTCCTATGAGTTTTCTGCCATGTATTGAGGAGGCACAGTGTATTGAAGAGAGAACTACTAAGGTTGTTGTTATCTTCTAAATGTCATAATAGGCTTTGGCTTGTATGGTCCAAGTAAACAAGCTGGAGAAGTACTGGAAGGAGGATGCCTCTTTTGAGAGACGACTTCCCAAATACTTCTAGTGTGAACTCTAACAATTGGTTCTTCAGACTTTAAGCTAACAAGCCTTTTTCCTTTCCTGTGTGTGGAAGGGAATGCTTGTCACAGTGATGTGTGGGTAGTGTCAAGGCTGCCGTGCTTGTCCATATGTGCTGTTCCTGGAGGCAGCAGTGTAGCGCAGTGTGGTTCTTGTTGACAGCTGATGACCAGTCTAGCTTCACTAAACCTACTTGATGCTTGATCAAGGCTTATACTGTGAATTCTGTTGCAGTTGAGGTCTGTATCTGTAGACCTGAACGTTGATCCTTCTCTCCAAATTGACATACCTGATGCCCTAAGTGAAAAGGACAGAGTGAAGTTCACTGTGCATACTAAGGTAAGAGCATGAGGTAGAAAGTGGTCTTCATAAATGTTATGCAAGTGATAGTTGTATTTGTAATACACATACCTGTAAAGATGGGCTTGGCAATGAAGGAAATTTAATTAGTTGGAGCTCTTCCACTTAAAGGCCTAAGGGTGTATATGTATGCAGAAACTTCAGATTTCCTAAGACTTGAATGCTTTCTAAATCACACAGAATCACAGAATGGTAGGGGTTGGAAGGGACCTCTGTGGGTCATCTAGTCCAACCCCCCTGGCAAAGCAGGGTCACCTACAGCAGGCTGCACAGGACCTTGTCCAGGCGGGTCTTGAATATTTCCAGAGAAGGAGACTCCACAACCTCTCTGGGCAACCTGTTCCAGTGCTCTGTCACCCTCAGAGGGAAGAAGTTCTTTGTCATGTTCAGACAGAACTTCCTATGCTTCAGTTTGTGCCCATTGCCCTTTGTCCTGTTGCTGGGCACCACTGAAAAGAGTCTGGCCCCATCCTCCTGACACCCACCCTTGAGATATTTATAAGCGTATATTAGGTCCCCTCGCAGCCTTCTCTTCAGGCTGAACGAGCCCAGACAAGGTAGCTGATACATGAAATTGGCTTTGCTAAGGAATCCTAGCTTGACACCAGAATGCTTGGGGGTAGGAGTGGGGAAATCAGCTACTGTGAAACTTCACAAAATAAACTGCATTAATGCTATTCGGCAACAGTTCCTTTTCTTTAAATAGTCTCCTTAGTAGTAAGGCGCTCGAGTGAGTGCCAGCTCAGCTAAAAGGGAGTAGGCGAGGCTCTTACTAGGCAAAATAGCTTCCTTTGGAAATGGACAGAACTGTTTCTAAAAGCACTAATTTACGGAACAGTGGGGCTTCTATATCTTCTCTTCCAGACTACACTGCCAGCTTTTCAAAGCCCTGAGTTTTCAGTTACAAGGCAGCATGAAGACTTTGTGTGGCTGCATGATACACTCACTGAAACTGAAGAGTATGCAGGACTCATTGTAAGTGCTTCCTGAAAAATGTAATTCTAAACAAAAAACTATAGCGATTTAAAGTCCATACTACTACGGGCATGAAGTCTGCTTTATCAATGTTACTAGTGTTTCATGACTCGGGTATTCCCTATGCTTCATTCTGCCTTAATTGCCAAACAGCTAGTGGTATGGGTCTGTTAACTTTCTGTATAGCTTAGAGCAGCAAAAAAAGCTTGATGCTCTGAGAGATCCTAACTCTATGGTGGTATTAATATCTGACTGAAGATGACATAGTGAAATACTGTATTAAATATAGTCTTTCTTCCCATTGGTATTCTTTAGAGGCCCTGTGGGCCACAGAAGATGGCTGGCTACCGGGTGGATTATAGAGGCTGTTCCTATTGTTGGTTTCCATCCTGGGCCAGGGGTAGCATAGAGCTGGGAGGGGCAAAAAGGGGCCTAGACGTCAACACGCCTCTAGAATTCCTGGGCACAGAGCCTTGCTGGCTTGCCATAACTAGGCAAAAGGGCCTCCTTCCAGAGAAGGCTAGAAGTAATCTTGGGAAACTTTATTTGGTAGCATCTATCACTAACCAATTCCTTGGCTAGATACCTCCAGCACCTTCAAAGCCTGACTTTGATGGTCCCAGAGAGAAGATGCAGAAGCTAGGGGAAGGAGAAGTGTCTATGACGAAAGAAGAGTTTGCCAAAATGAAGCAAGAGCTAGAAGCGTAAGTAGAATGAGTCTACTGCCAAAAGCTTCACTTAGTTGCTCTCCCAGTAGGCTTCTCTTACTTGGTGGTAACTATCTTGAGCGTGACTGTGTTGAAGGGTGTCTGCTGCTGTATAATCTTTAAAATCTTGGAGCTGGGGTGTTGCCATAAGTTTCTCTCAAACTGGAAAACTTCCTAGCTAAAGAGATTGAAAATAATTCTCTATCACTAGCTAGCTATTTCAGAAGCATGCCGTTGAATAGTTTCACGGGATATACAAAGAATTGCTTTAAGTTTATTGAAGAAAGCAGTACAAGAGTCTGTTCTTTCCTTTCAGTGAATACCTCGCTGTCTTCAAGAAGACTGTATCATCACATGAAATCTTCCTTCAGCGGATTTCTTCTCATCCTGTGCTCAGCAAAGATCGCAATTTTCATGTTTTCCTGGAGTATGACCAGGATGTAAGAGAACTTTTTTCTCCTTTCTGAGTGAGGCAAGATGTTAGGAGTGCTGTCACTGTTTCTGGGCACAGTCAGAATGTTATGTAAAGCTATGTGCAGCATCAGCAAGCAGATATTGTCAGTGCTTCTGTGAGACGATTAAAGGACAAAAGCCTGACCTTTAGACCTTTTTCCGCTATAAATCTCATAGCGTTTCTTAATCCTACTCAAGTTGGTTAGGAAGCCAACTTTGTATGCCTTGATATCTTAGGAACAAGTATGGTTCAGGTGTACCTGTACTGTGTGTTGCATGGTCCTAAAACGGAAGAATGAAGGGGTATTAAAGTTAGTACTGCATCTGTTTTGTCACACCTAATTATGATTGAGTGATAGATGCTGATCCAAGATATGTAAGGAGAAACTGAGCTGTTTCTGGGAATGTGAAAAATCTGTGGCACAGAGTAGTTGAACAACCTCTAGTCAAGCCTTGTGTTACATGAGCCATCTTTATACAGCTTATACAGGTATTATGGAAAGCTTGGAAATCAGCCTGCTCTGTCATATGCTAGACATAAACGATGTTACTACACTGTAAGTGTAAAAAGAGTAATTTTCCACCTTGGGATAACTTTAAAGCTGTCTTGGCCTCTCTGCAGCTGAGCGTTCGGAGGAAAAACACAAAAGAGATGTTTGGTGGCTTTTTAAAAAGTGTGGTAAAGAGCGCTGATGAAGTCCTCTTCTCTGGAGTCAAGGTAAGGTACTTGGTTTACCCTAATCTTGATTGTTCCTTATTTCCCACTCCAGGGAAGTTAGTTAAGTCTGCTTCAGGCTTAATGTGCGTGAGGCTCAGTTACTAATGCTAACCTTCCTTGTTACTGCCGTCCCAAGTTGGGTGGAGTAGCCTGTATTAATTTTGACTTCTGTAGAAATAAAACATTGAAGCTACAAGCTGTTAAAATTTAAGTGTATATTTAAAGTTTCTGGTGGATGCACGAGAGTTTCCTTAACACAAGATACTGGTGGGGAGGAAGGAATTACACCTTCAGCAAATGTGCTCATGGCTTTTGTCTGCTTTGGAGCTCTGAACAAACATAATTTATGGGTTTCTGCTTGCACTAGGTGAGATAAAATACCAAAGACTGCTGTAACTGGTCCAGCTTCAGCTTTCCTATCATGTTGCTATGGTAGCTCTTTTGAATAGACTTGCTGTCCTAAACAGTGTCATGAATCATTACAGTATGTATAATGTTTGGTATGGATGCGAAGCAAGCTTGTAAACTGCTTACTACTTAGCTACTGTGTTGCAGCAGGCCTGGGAAATAAAATTCCAACAGTTGGTAGCCCTAAGGGCTGTGTGATACCAACTTACTGGTTGTTTCAAATAACCAGCAGTGTCGAATAGACAAGTGTCAAGTCCATCTTCGCTTCACTGTCGGAAAGAAACTTGCTGAATGGCTTGGTTTTTCAAACCCTTCACTCAGGATCTTATCTCGAACTCTACTCTTCAGTAGAGATCGATTTGGCATAATGCTCAGGTGGCTGTGGTTATTTCTTTGGCCCTTCCCAAAATAGGGAAGAGCTTGTGTTCTGCAATAATGTAACTGACTTAACAGGTCACACTCTCTTTCAGGAAGTAGAAGACTTTTTTGAGCAAGAGAAGACTTTTCTTGTAAACTACTACAACAGAATCAAGGATGCATGTGCAAAAGCAGATAAGATGACAAGATCTCATAAAAGTGAATCTTTTCAAAGACCTTTCTAAAGACCTTGCCATCTTCCTGATTTCAGCCTGAAAACCTTGTCTTGTTCTTGCAGATGTTGCAGATGACTATATTTATACTTCAGCTTGCTTGAACAGCCTGGCATTAGAAGAACCTACAGTTATCAAAAAGTAAGCAATTCTAACTGTTCATAAACATATCCTGAGTCTGGGAATATGAAGTTCCTCTGTAAAATCCAGGGGCTTGAATCAGAGCTGGTTTGAGTTTACTGAATTGCAAGCAAGTGCAACTTTCTTTCCTCTGATGCTCCTGGTGCAACAGACATGAAACTGTCAATTACATCTGACTCTTAACTAGCTGATCTTTTGCCAGTTGTGCCCTAGAGCTGAATCGTGCTGGTCATCAAAGCTCCTTCCAAACAGAAGTCTTCTTGAATTTTTTTCAGGTCATAAACTCCTAGAGAATATGGGAGAAAGGGGTTATGCGTCTGTGTTCTGATGTGCTGTTAAATACAACTGTAGCTTACACTAGGCCTGTGTTGTCTTCTGGACCTTTGAAGTTCTAGAATAGTAGGGGTTTTTAAGCTATGGAAACCTAGTCACCTTTTCTGGGGTGAATTCTTCCACTTCTCTAAACTTCACTATCAATTTACCAAGACTTTGTTAAAACAGAGTGTATAGCTGAATAAACGAGACAGTTCATCCCTCCTGGAGGATAGCAGTGGGGAAATGCTCCCTCCTTGGAAGTGTTCAAGGACGGGTTGGATGGAGCTTTGAGCAACTTGGCCTAGTGAAAGGTGTCCCTGCCCATGGCAGGGGGATTGGAACTAGATGATCTATAAGGTGATCTGTAAGATCCCTCCCAATCAAACCGTTCTGTGATTCTGTGAAATTCTCTAGAAGAGCTTTATGCCCTGGAGATCGTTGTTGTTACTTTAAATGGAGTTTGGCTGCTCAGCTGTACTGAGCTGTCTGTCAGGCTGGAATCCCGCACCTCTTGCATTGAACCTTTTGTCCAGGTCTTTGCCAAGACATGTGTTCTTCTCAAGCCCTGGTCTGGGCCTGTATGCAGGAGTACACTCCAGCCTCCATCTTTTTGGTTTTCTGTGAATTGACCCTGGCATTTGTCAGACTAAGAAGTATCTAAAACTTATTTATGCATTTTTTTTTTCCCTAGGTACTTGTTGAAAGTTGCTGAGCTGTTTGAGAAACTCAGGGTAAGAGAAGCTTGGGGGCAGCAGCGGGGGAAGAATCTCTGAATCTGGTTGTTGCTGTTTCCTGTTACATACCAACTCTCTGATCCCTTCTGCAGAAGGTAGAGAGTAGAGTTTCATCTGATGAAGACTTAAAGCTCTCTGAACTGTTGAGATACTACATGCTCAATATAGAAGCTGCTAAGGTGAGAAGATTTTTCTTTCTGAAGCCTAGTTTTATTATGGTCACCATGACTCACTAATGGTATTCTTTGTGCTTTAAGAAGACAGGAAGGGGGACCCTTGTTTTGCCTAAGAAACCTGGCACTCCTAAACCGCTGCAGAATATAAAAACTATATATTGGCTAACTGCAGTCCAGTCCACTTACAGAAGGGGTGTTTAAGATCTCCGGCTAGCTTTTCTTTGGCATGTAGAGAGGAATAACTCTTTAAATTTCTCGAAGTTGCAGCAAACTGAGTCTGCAGCAGTGTTCGAACACTTCTGCTGCCTGAGTACTCAGGAATTGTCAGTAAAACCAATGATGACTAATTAAAAATCCTGAAGTAAATCCCAACTACTGAAGTACTTTATCATGAATATGTGATAACATGTGAAGGCTGTTGGAGTCTGGGCTTCCAAGAGGGATTTGATAGATTGATGTGACTGCAAAAGTCTTGCCAGCAACTCTTTCTAATCAATATGTGACTCGACAAGGGGGTGACTGTGTTGAGAAATGGTATCTAGGTACAACCTGGTAGGCCTCTTCATCTAGTGTTATACCTCTAATGTCATGTACCCTGGAAGGCACACTACAGGCTCCCTCTGTGTGCTGTACTTCTGTTTAGATATCAAGACTATGCTGCTGTTAGGTTAGAAAGGAAATGGTGCTGAGACCTGTACTGCTTCTCATGTCTGAGTTAGTATAGTGCTTCAGTCAAACTGTCAGATCTCTAACAATTAAATGGCAGTGTATCCCTTACTAGAAGTAGACTGAGGGAATTCAGAAAGTGCTATTCCTCCTTAGTGGAGAGGTCCACTTTATAGAAGGATAAAGCTACTTTAAGGGAAGAAACAATGCTTACAGTAGCCCTTGGACTTGATGAAGGCACAAGTGGCTGTCCTGAAAACTTGATACTGCACTGGTGAAAGGCTCTTCTTGCTATGCTAAGAGCATAGCAGGTTATAATAGCTTGTTGGAAGAAGCAGAATCTGGTGCTGAAAAGTGAAACCTCCTGCTGCTAAGGTAGCTGTAACCTCAGTTTGGGAAGTAGTCCTCTTAAGGCTTTGACAACACTGTTCCTGTCTACTTTCAGGATCTTCTGTACAGACGTACAAGGGCTCTTGTCGACTATGAAAACTCAAACAAAGCTCTAGATAAAGCCAGACTAAAGAGCAAGGACGTCAGGCTGGCTGAGGCACATCAGCAGGATTGTTGTCAGAAGTTTGAAAAGATTTCAGAATCTGCAAAACAAGGTAAAACAGGCTTTGCTGTATTTGTGCTGAAGGGAGATCTTAATGCAGTCCAGGTCTCCATCTGACCTTCAGCTACTGAAGACTTGTGAAAGCTGTCCTGAAGCAAGTAGTCTGGGCATATCCCAAGGGCAATATAGATAATTCAGCTAAATATTTTTAAGAATGGTTGGCTTCAGACAATCAATGTCAATACTAGACCAACCTTAATTATAAATGCCTAGTGTTTGCTTTCCAGAGTGAAGTTTTGTTATCAGCCTCCACGTGAGGTGACTACTCAGGCTTCTGATTCTCTCATTTAGAACTGTGCAAACAGGCTTTTACTCTGTCCCAGTACAGCCAAGTGCCGCATACAGAGTTTCAAACACTAGGTCTTAGTAAATGCCTTTGGCCAGCATGAAATGGGAAAAGTGCTTTCATGGGATGCATGCTACTCCTTTAATGTTCTTGTGTTTTAAATGTTCTGTGTTTTCACAGAGCTTGTATGGCTTACTTCTGTCTTATTCCAGTTCTGTTCCTACAAAACCTTTCTGTCTTAGACAAGCTGGCTGTTTCCTCACCAAAATGTCAGTGTCGTGTGGTGAATGCATCTTCTGGCTAGAAACAGCAAGATTAACTCTTGAACGTTTTTGTGATCAAATGCTGTAACTAGAGCTGTACAGCAGAACTCATGAAACACAAGAGGCACTACTGAAACTTCAGTCACACTTTGTACATCTGTCTTACGTTTGCTTGTTCTTTCTTCCCTACAGAACTGATGAGCTTCAAACAAAAGAGAATAGCAGCATTCCGCAAAAACCTAATTGAAATGGCAGAACTGGAAATAAAACATGCAAAGGTGTGTTCTTTTTGGAATTTAAGTCATAGCTTGACAGAAGTGAGTACTGTGTAGCTTGGTGGATTTGCTGGGTTCCCTTTTAAAACTAGGAAGTGTGAAATAGAGTAGCTGGGCTCTTTAGCCGAGATCTGAGGAGGGGAAGGACAGGGAATGAAGTTGTAGGTGTAGAGCATACAAAGAACAAATACTGACAGTCTTATCTGTCCTGTGCAGAAAGTCTGTTTTCAACTTGTCACTCCTAGGACACCAGGCTATTGCACTGCAAGTGAGAAGTCTCAATTTTGCAGGTAGTACTCAACAGCTCACCTAACTTCCCATGAGGCAGCCTCATCTGTGGGACTTGACCCCTCCTTCATCTAGAGGCAGCTGATGCCTCCAGTGTTCCTGAGCGCTGTGAGAGCACATCCTGCAACTTGTGATCTAGCTGTCAACCCTTCTCACTTGGCTTGTCAGTGAAGGGGAACGCTGGCATTGTAGCAGCCTCTGCCAAGCTTTACAGAGCAGGCTTGAAGCAGGCTGCAGAGACCACACCATCTACTGCCAGCTTAATCCAATAAAGTGTACACAGGTGACAGGGTCTGCTAACTTAGTGTAGAAAACAAAGCAGGAAGACTCAGGAAGAGGTAACTTCGCATCCTCAGCCTTTTTGAAGAAGGGAAGCCTAATTTCCTGCTCCTTGAGAGTCCTGGGCTTCATTACAGGTAGCTGCTTCAGTGCTGAGCTTGAATGTGATGTACAAAAGGCTTGAGAATACTGCTCAGTTTGGCCCACTTAAAAAAAACCTATTAGTCTGTCTCTTGCCCCTGTCCTGCCCACGAACCGAGTCGTGACTGTAGGCCTGCTGGAAGAGGCAGATTGCAGGCTGTGTGATCGGTTTTTGATGCTTGACTGCTTGTCTCTGCAGTATAAGCTCTCTAGCATTGTCACAGGCCACAAAATCCTGGGATGGACCTACTATTTTGGAAGCTACTTCATTGTGGAAGGCAGGATTTAAATTATCAGTCACACTCATCTGAAACTAATTCTCTTCCTTTCCAGAACAATGTCTCTCTCCTGCAAAGCTGTATTGACTTATTCAAGAACTAAGGCGCCTTATTCTGAAAATGTGAAAAAAAAGCACCAATTGCACTCAATGGCCAGGGGCAACTTGTTGGCTTGACTTCATTAGCTTAAAATAAATATTGTCACTGAGATTCTGTTTGACTAATACTTAAATGTGTTGATAGTGATACACTGCTGTTCTTGGTATAAATGAGAGCCAAATTGTGTGTGGATTGTCTGGATGTAGCTAACATCCTGTTGGCTGATAACTCAAAATGAGTCAAATGTAAGAAATCAGTTTACGGTTGACTAACTTCATCTAGCAGAAAACGTTTTCTGAGAACTCCTTTTTTGCAGGACCGTAAAGTAATCTGTCTCTTTGTAGCCCTGATATATTTAAAACTTGCAAGTGGGAGTGACTAATATAAGTGTAGTAATTTTATAAAGTAAATATCTTAACATTCCACTTCCCAGACAGATTTCTACTACAATATATTTTGAATTTCTAGAACTACATTCGGTATTTGTATACTTGGGCAATACAGCAAATAAAGATGTCTGATACAACAAGCTGTTGTTGTATGGCAAGACTTTGTGTGGGATGTAAAATGGTAAACTGAGGTTTTGGGTACAAAACTATCACAAATTGTTCACCACCTGGAGCTCTTTATTCAGAGCACTAGTGATAAATATTGACTCAGTAGGGTTGTTCTTGGAATGGGTGTTGACATGAAATGTGGGGACTTCAGGTCATGTTGCTGTTGGAGTAGCTCTCAAACTTTCACTTCCTATGTGCTGCACACGAAGGAAACCAAGCCAAGAGTCCAAGGCTTGGGCCTCTTCAGTCTGCTTTACAATGCTTCATATTTTGTCAATCTTGACACCTCCTACTGGCAACAAGAGGCTCTTTAAAACTTCAGGGCTTCTGGGAGCACAGTCCTTACCAGTCTTCTGTAAGATAAACCCCTTTAAACTTACTTAATATGGCCGACTGGGCGTACACTGCCATTGCTGAGGCAACTCAGCCTATCAACCCCAGGGTCGTCTTTCTGCAGGCTGGCTATCACTTGGCATATGTGGATATAGGTCAGCGAGCCATACCCTTCTAAAGGGAGCTTTCTGAGTAAGAAGAGTATCTGAGCCTTGCTTAATTTCTTGTGACTGAACTTCTAATTGTGCTCAAAGTAGGCTGTGTGGCTATGCTCTGGGCAGACTGCCTGAATCGGTTTCAACTAGAGAAGCTCTGAGAATGGACAGCTCAGTGGCAGTATCTGTTCAACAGTTTTCTGTGACCTACTGCTTTTCCATTCTGGTACCCCATGAAAACAGTGCAGGTCTTACCAGCCACCCCGTCCCGCAGTAGTCTAGCTGAAACATGTATGAATTCTGTCTCCTTTTACCTTTGTTTGATGGGAACAGTTTCAACTTGTGGTTGATTAAGGTTTCTGGAGTTTATGCTCAACTTCCGCCCAAACAGCTCAGTTCCAGCAGCAGCCACAAGTGTATTGCTTGTGGGTATCTGGACCCTATATAGAAAAGAGCTGGTAGGTAGCTTTGCTGTCGCCTGTGACAGGTTGTATAAACTCTGCTCCTAGCCACTTGTCCTGGGGCAACTAGTGGTCCCAAGCTGGACAATTCATGCTGGCAAGGCTCTGGCTTTTCCTGAAGATACACACTGTGCCTCTTTCTCTCTCACTTTGGCTGCTTCATGCAGAGAAGAGCAGGCTGAGGATCCTAGGCTCTGCTGGTGTGCCAGCTGTAGCAGGATGAGCTTCTCCTAGTGTGCTGTGGCTCTTGGAAGCCACTGTTGCTTCATGCCCTTCTGCACCTATTGCCTGTGGCACAGGAGAATTAGCGTCTTGCTTATGTTTGTTTTACAGTAAAATTTTGTTGTATGTTGGGTCTTTCTGAACTTAGATCCATTAGCTGGGTGGTCTTTGAATCAAAGTCAATAGCAAGGAACTTGTAGTCTATACCTAACTGACTTTGAGCTGAGTCTGAAGATGAAGTCCGGCTATGTTTATCCTAAACTACTTCAACTCAGTTCAAATGCCTTTCTTATTTTCCCCAGAGAAAGACTGCAGCTAGTATCAACATGACAAACGCTACTATGTCCCTACTTTAGATGCAGTCTAGACTGTTGTGGGCTTCATGCACTGCCAGTAACAGTATGTCTGAAGCTGAGATGCCTTTTTTTATTATTCTTTTAGAGCTTTTTCAAGTGATGATTGCTCTTATGTGGTTTACACTCTAAATTCTTGACATATATTAACCTAGATTAAAGTATTAATCTGATCAGATTAAAAGTATGCAAAAGACTTTGAGTTGATGCAATTATGGCTTTATACTGATGTTGCAATTACTACAGTTGTTGTAAATTAAATGCAAGAAAATGGTAGCTATGAAGCAGCCTCGGCCACTAACACTTGCTCTGAAGGAAGCTGTACTGTGTCAGCTATGCCAGTAGAGTGCATTGCAGTCAGCTTCAATGTCTGAAATGTGTTAACTTGGAAAATACTAGTCACAGCACAGATCACATTCCTGGAGGCCAGTGGGTGGCAGGCTGGGACAGCTGCTGATAACGAATTGCACACGTTTACTTTCAGACTGAGTTCTAATGAAGTACTGGAAAAGCTGCTGCATGTCCTAGTTTCTTACCTGGCAGCTGGACATATGTTCATATGCAAGAGAAACGAGCTGCATATGTGAGCAGTCTGCTCATAAGGAAGGACAAATATTTAACTAATGTAGTATGACTGGACCTGACTTTCCTTATAGCAGGGCCTTCAATAAAGCCTAGCAGAGCAAAGATCAGCACAGGCAAGTCAGGGTGGTAAGGCATGTTATCATCCATATGAAAATAAAGTGGTTTTTTTAGAAATATTCCTGGAACTTAATTTAAAAAGCTCGTTAGGCGGATGAGAGCAGGGTTTGGTAGATGTCCCAAACAAGGGTTGATGCTATTGTACATTTACTGATCATGTAAAGCAGTTTACCTTTACAAGCTTGTTGCTCTTGGTTTATGGGTTGCAAACTGGTGTGTGGCTCTTCACATCAGATGTCAGTCCTTCTCTGTCTGTTTGAATAAGATCAGAGGGAAAACTAACGCTTGGTCAAGTTTACTGAGATTTATTAGATACTGAGCTCTAGTGTTGTTCATGAAGGCAGATGCTGCTACTACCTCAAGGTAAGCAAGTAGCATGCCACTGGCTTGCAGCACAAGCACAAACTCTCCAGGAGTTTAAATAGCAGGTCTCTGCTAATCCGGTTTATTTTGCTTAAAATGGGCTAGGGATTCTCCCAGTAGCAGCTCAGCAGGTACAAATCTCCAGCCTGAAATCAAGGATGTACTCTCTTAACACAGCTGCTAGCGGAGGTGCATCCTTGTACGTTGGTGCTGTGCTTGAGGCCAGTGTTATGGGAGACAGCATAGAGAAACTGCCCTCCAAGGGAGCATGTTTCTGCTGGCGTGCAGCTGCTGGGCTGCATAGGGTGTTGTAGCGTACAGTGTTCCCTTCTCCACATGGTAAGTTTGGAGTCTAGCGTTTTCTCTTCCACCCTGGGGAGGAGCAGATGTCTTTTATCCTCCCAGTGGAAGCGTGGATCCTGAGGAATCCAGCTGTGTGCTCAGCATTAGAGAGTAAGGAGGTAATTTGTGTCCTTGGACAGCAGTAGCATGTCTCTGCTTAGAGAAGCAATGTTGGTGCAGGCAAAGTGGGCTAGAACCGAGTCCTTGGGTGCTGCAGGTATCTGGCTGGCTGTTTCCAGTGGAGCAGAGCTAACAAGATGGGCACAGAGCAGTGGATCTGGATCGCAGTGCAAACCCAGGAGACTCCAGCAGCAGGATGGCTGGATGCAGAAGGCTGCGGTCTTGGCATGGTGTTTGCAGCAAGTAAGGAATACTAAAATGAGAGCAGCTGTGGGGTGGGTGAAACAGGTGGCAATTGTACTTACGGAGTTGCCACTATTTGGATATTGGAAAACTGCAGATGGGAACTAACCTGGCCGTGTAGGAGAGGCTCACAAATGTGTCCTGTAGCACAAGATTGTGATTCCAGGTGGTGCAGTAAAACAGGGTTTTGTACCCATAGAAAGAGAATGATTAAGGGTTGAGTGCAATTCAAGAAAGAGCTGGTTTGCTGTAGTTTGTGCACGTACTCCTGGGTCTAGGAAGACACATCACTGATGCTGAGGCTGGTAAATGAAGCAGAGAACAGTTCCAGTGCCTTTGGGATACAGAAAGCCTGGAAGAGCTGTGAGTATGGACTCTCTGTGCTAGTTGTTGCTGGGTCTGTGCTTCCCACAGTGGTTTTGCAGCTATGACCTGCTTCACAAGCCTGAGAAACTCTGCTAAACACCCTGGCCTGACTGGGGGCAGAAATTCAGGTGCAGGCTGACCTGTCTTGAGATGATTACTGTTTTTTTTTAAATTAGATTCATCATGACTATATTTTTTAACATGCCTCAAATTTGTTCAGTTCCCCTCCATTCCATGCTGTTTCTTCTTGGCTGCACGCTCTGTAGGGGACCTCTGATCTGAGGCCCTGACCTCCAGCAGTTTTGTAGCCTTGTACTACACTTCTGATAGCAGCAAATGCGAATTTCTCAAAACATGGAGCTGGGAATGTTTTCTCAGCAGGTTTTTTGGGCACTTGCAGCCTTTCCCAAAATACATTGGGAGGAGCTGCTTGTGAAGCAAAGAGCTCTGCAGAGTTCCCATTCTTGGATGTAGCTTTCGGTACTCTGCTGCTATCCTAGCACTTGCTGCTATGTCTGAGAGCACAGTTATCAGTTGTTTCAATGTGTGCTCTTAAACACCTGCGTCATTGCTTGCTGAAGGCAGAATATCTGAAATTAATTTGAAATCTGTCTGTTTGAAGCTCACTGATCACCAATGAATGAATACAGGCGCTGGTGATACATTTTAATCTCTCAGATTGTTGCCTGCTTCCAGCTTTGGCCCTGCAGCTCACTGTTTTCTGAAAACTGTGATTCATCTGCTAGCAAAATGCTGTCCAGTGGCTGAGCTCTGGTATGGCCTCAGCCTTGCTTTTTGTTTACTTTTTATATTACGAAGCCAATGAGAA